ATAACGGTTACTCTTTCTCCTCATCTTCATGTTCACGAGGGAACAATTACTTTCTGCTCTTCATGTAAACAGGGTAACAGTTATGCTCTCCTCTCTTCTTCATAATAGTTACTTTTCCTTCTCTTCTGAATGATAACTACGAGTCGTGATTAAATGTTTCAAGCTTATACGTTGATGAGAAAAGACTACTTCGGATTCAGCTCAGTTAGGGCTCCGTTCGGCAAGATTCGTGTTAAATGGTTCTTAGCTCAGTTAGGGCTCCGTTCGGCAAGATTCGTGTTAAATGGTTCTTAGCTCAGTTAGGGCTCCGTCCGGCAAGATTCGTGTTAAATTGTTCTTAGCTCAGTTAGGGCTCCGTTCGGCAAGATTCGTGTTAAATGGTTCTTAGCTCAGTTAGGGCTCCGTCCGGCAAGATTCGTGTTAAATTGTTCTTAATAGAACTTTAATCCTTGGCCTTAATAACGATGACAAAGGTGAAAGGTTCTGTTATCACGTGGTGCACAACACTAAATTTACCAGTAAGTTTATTGTGCAACAAGAATATATATTACACAAAATCCTTCTTCTTAAGGATCTCAAATATAAACATTCCAAAGCTACCATTTTGGATATACTCTACACATGTGCTCTTTACTTTAGCCTCCCAATGAGTCAGCGGACAGCCTGAAGGCTTATAACGCTAAAAACCGGGTTTCAATACCCATGGTGGGCACAGTTTTAAGCTTAACAACAGCACTGTTCACTTTTCATATAACAAACTGCGCCCTCTAGTTGATAAAAAAAAACAATTTAATTATTTTATTTTCTTCTAGGAACAGGAGTTTGTAAGTGCTAAGAGACCTATGTTTACAATAAATTCAATATAAGATTCGTTGAGTTTTGAAACATTTAATACTCTGATTGTTGCTTTGTTCAATGGGCCAAGCTTATAGATTTCTGAACTGTCAGAATAAGTGAACAAAATGTGGTGTAAGTACAAACTTCGAAATTGAGTTGCTAAATATGTAAAAATAAAAAATATGAAATGGACAATATTCAACACATTTGTATTCTTTGGTGAATGGAATGTTGTGACTAAAATTTTATTAAACTTATTGACACGTTATTTTAATTCAAAATAACAACTGAAATCCTGTCAACATTACTTCTACAGTAAAGTGGATAAACTTATATTTGACTTTTTTTATTATTATCGTTTGCTTTTCATAATTACTGAAAATAAACTAAGTTCAATAAATTCGGGTGTTATAAACCTCATCAACCTGATCGTAAACAATGTGTATAAAAAACAAAAGGACGTTGACTTAGAATACATGTCTCAACATGTTTCATCGGTATCATAAAAAATAACGAACAGAACAAAAATTATAACTGGAGTAACTGGGTGTGTGTTGATCTAACAAGAAAAATGCACAATATATTAGTATTATAAAGCTCAGTGGTGAGTAAATAATTCAAACTTTATCTAACCAAGTTTGCTCAGCGGAATGTCTGCGTGCTTATAACGTTAAAATTCGGTTTCACTGGTGGATAGAGCACAGGGAACTCATTGTGTAGCTTAGTGCTTAACAACAAAACAACCGATTTTAAATTCAGTACCAGTGGAACCTCTTCCGAGACTTCTGAGGATCCTGTTCATGATTAATTATGGTTACAGAAACTTAGAAAGAGTTTAGTTCATGAAACTTAGTCATGCTTACTCGAATCCTGACTGGTTGAATTTTCTTGAAAACCTTCAAAACTTAATTTATATTTTTTTACTAACATAAAGGTTTAGTACAAATTATAATTACACCAGAATGCAAAACGCAAATAAATCAAAAGTGAAATAGGCCACAACAACAACAACAAAAAGTCGCCATCCGTACTATGGTGCCGTGGGTGCATTATAAGAGTGACGGTCAAATCCCACTATTCGGTCAGATAAGAGAAAGTGGTGTTGACTATCTGACTCTCCGCTAGTCTAATTTTTTTTTTTCAAATTTAGGAACTGACAGCACAGAGAGCTCTTGAGTAGCTTTTTGCGGAAACAAACAAACAAACAAAGTTGAACGAAACAAAAATTCACACAAATGTCA